ATTTTCCAAATAATTATTAATTTACTTTGTTTCTATTGTTTGACTTAACATCAATCATAATAATGTATTTGATTTTATATGCTTATTGTTGGTCTTGTACTTCTAAACTTGGATTTTAAATYAGCCTTCATTAACTCCCCAATTAATTATATAGAAGGGCTTACCATTTAAATTTTCCTTTTAGGTGTTTTGAAGAATTATGTAAAAAATCTACATTAAAGTCTAAATTCCCAGAATGTTATACTTAGAATGCCTAAAATCTAGAAAAAATCTAGATTTATAAGTAATTATAAAAACTGAGCTTCTCAAATGGTAATAGTGTTATCTGGATTCTTTCTGATTTACTTTTCAACAGAGGTCATAATCCCGTTGGTAGAAACTAGAAATTATTTATCTGGGAACCAGAATAAGATAGTTGTTAAAATTTAGTATTTTGTTTGCCTGAGATTTTTCTGACTGTCAAGGAAAAGAACAAAAAAATTTTCATCTCTCCAGTTTTTTGAGAGAAAAAGTATCACCAAGTCTTTCATTTAACCTTCATTTATTCACAGTTTACATATTATATATTTTTTGAAACTTCATATTATATACTTATCAAAGAATCATCCTTTCTCTGAAATGTAATTGATGATTGTAGAAATTTAGCTACCATTATTTGAATACCTAGTTTATGGGACTCAAAGAGATACTTTGTTATCTCTAATCCTTGCAATAATCCTATTTAGATTTGTGCTATTTTACCCTTTTCACAGATGGCGAAATTGAGCCACTAGAAGGTAAGTAATTTGCACATAGTCACATAGCTAATAAGATCAGAATTCTTAAACTGCTTTCCAACAGCGCTTTATAACTTGTGGAACCCCTCATATAGAATGTTACTTTATTTATTTATTTAGCATAGTCAAATGAAAGAGAAAATATGCAAAACCCATTGACCTCTTCAATATTACTATGCTCTCTTGCAGCTTGTGAACTTATGAATCAAGGCATCTTGGCCCTGGTCAGCTCCATTGGCTGCACGTCAGCAGGGTCCCTCCAGTCTTTGGCAGATGCCATGCACATTCCCCACCTATTCATTCAGCGCTCAACAGCTGGGACCCCAAGAAGTGGCTGTGGCCTCACCAGGAGCAACAGGAATGATGATTATACTCTCTCGGTTCGTCCACCTGTCTACTTGAATGAGGTTATCCTAAGAGTGGTCACAGAGTATGCCTGGCAGAAATTCATTATATTCTATGACAGTGAATATGGTAAGTGTTTATAATCTGTATGAATTTTATAAGTGGATGTTTGCATGAAAAGTAACTTTATTAAATCTTGAAAAAATTTCAGGAGCTTACTCATTATTTGTGGTTTTCTTGTCATATTTTTATAAATCTAGCAGCAACAACCAAACACTTTGTTAATGCGATTAAGTTCATCCTTTTGTATTAAGTACCTTTGAAGTCAAATTTAAAAATAAACACCTATATCTAGCGCTCAGCTTACAAATGTTTTTGAAATAGCATGACTCTGATACATCTTGTTTTTTCACATGTCACATCATGAAGACAATAAATACTGCATTCTTTTTTTTTAAATGTACACATTTCTAGAATAATAAGAACATTTGGATAGATTGTAGAACACTGTGAAAACATAACTTCTTAATTACTTTTAAAATCTTGCCACCTAGCTGGGCACAGTGGCACATACCTGTAATCCTAGCAGGTCAGGAGGCTGAGAAAGGAGGATCAAGAGTTCAAAGCCAGCCTTAGCAATGGTGAGGTGCTAAGCAACTCCATGAGACCTGTTTCTAAATAAAATACAAAAATGAGCTTGAGATGTGACTCAGTGGTCAAGTGCTCCTGGGTTCAAATCCTGGTACAAAAAAAAAAAAAAAAACACAAAAAACTGACACCTTGTTTTATGCATGGTATAGACTTTAATATCTATTCAATATTTAACCCTTTGAATTTGATGAAATTATTACCAATTATTACCTTATTTTTTTAACGATTCCCTTATCATTAATAGTGCACATTGTTTTCAATGTGAAATTTCACAAAAATAGAAGGTAGAATGAAAACAATGTATTTAATCTTCCAAGATAAAACAAAAAGCATAGTCTCTAAATTTACCAGAATTTGAGAAGAAAACACATTCTCACTATATATTTAGTTTTGGTACATTAAGATAGTAAGCAAAAGCATATTTTCAAATATAATTTCCCTCTTATTTAATCAGTAGTGGGGAGAAGTTGAGATGAGTATGATCACTTTCGGGGCAATAAACAGATCTCAATAATGAACACCTATGTAGAAAGGTATTTCTTTAGAAGTTGTCTTGACAAGGAGTTTAACATTTTTTTCTGTTCTGTATGGATGGGTTTCCTCTTTGCATTTTTACCAAAAGAAACCAGTAAGGAGTTCCCCTTGTGTGATGCAACTTGTTTTTCTTAGCAAATGAGTAAATAAGCATCAAAAAGAGAAAAAAAAAGAAAAGAAAAAGGCCATGCTTTCTTGTCATACTCTCCTCAACATTGTGAACAATTTGGAGAACAGGGACACAAGAGTGGGCCAGAAAGCACCATCAACAGAACCCAGAACAATCAGGCTGGCAGAAATCTGGGAAGCAGCAAATAAGAGCTCCTGTGGACTCCCAGGGAAGGAGAACAAGTGGTCAATACAGTTAGCCCTAAATATTCAAAGGCTTCATGGGGTTTTGGCAGCTGGAACCCCATTAAACTTGATGGCTAAGCTTCAGCCAAAGTTTGTGGCACTTTCTGGAAACATACTTYTTTGTCTCCAGGAAGGAAAGCCGAATTTTTGTTGCTTAATTCATGTTATTTAGGGGTCATAAAACAAAGACCAAAAGACTAAAATGAATAAAATAAACAAAATTGATATAAAAATAATTGGCCCATCAATGAAAGTAAGGATTGAAACCAACACAAATCTGGAATTTTCTGACAAGATTATATAGTAAACTAAGTTTTATCTCTAGAATCAGCAAGCTGAGCTTGCCTTTGTCAATTTTCTCYGGATATGTAATCTAGGACCTTTATAACTCTAAATGGTATTCTTAGTCTCTAATCAAACATAAGTTGAGATAATGAATTTTTAAAATACTATAAGAGAATAAAACTCTTTTCAGTTAGTGCTATCAAAATAGTGCCATAAAAAAGAGCAGAAAAGTGATTTTTTTTATTAAGGCATTTTTAAAGCATTAAAATAAGAATTTTACCCTTTGATTACAAATGTCTGAGAAGGAAGAACATCTTTGTTAGCTTGTTTCCAACCCTGTTGGGATTAACCAGGAAATTCTTATAGGAGAAAATGTTTTTATTATTGATGAGGTAAATATATTTTTGAAAATACCCAGCAAATACATACTCACAGAGTTATTTACATACATTTGGAAT